ACACGCGACACGAGACCATATATACACATGAACTACATATTACGAGAAGTAACGTGACGAACTAACTTCAACACACAAGCACCACACAAAATCTCAACTCAGACAGTTGCACATAAAAGTTATGGTACCATGCTTGACCTGTTCGACTCAGAAAAGTCTTATATCTGCAAGCCTCTTATGTGTCTATGTAGACATGCGACTGCGCAACAAACATCATCAAACATGAGTTGCAGGTTACGTCCGTAAAGTCTGCCCGAATGTGCTTGTTTGCCTATTGCGAATACATATCATATTGTCTATGTGTCCATGACCAACCAGATTGCAGGTTGCAACTGCGATGGAGGTCATGACGACTGAACACTCAACCAAGAAGGCTGCAATGAGGGTGAAGCAGCCTACCTGGAGCAGAACCCCCCGCCCCCCAAACCAGCTATAGCAGCTATAGGTGCTCCCCCGAGGTTTCGCTCGCACCTCCGGCTGGCAAGCTTCGCTCCGTGCCCACACGAAGCGCCTCGGGCCGGAATGATGTAATTTCTTATGCAACCTAGTCAGAACCTAACCAACAGATGTACGAACATCTTTACTCTCCACCTGATTGCAGTTGGAACTCCCGTAAGATGCGAGGATCTGAAAGTAAGAGGCATAGACTGCAATAGTGAAACATCCATGGCTGTAGACAATCCAGGGGCTCTACTGGCCGGTCACGCGTCGGCAATTCTGCCCGCTCTGCCTTTTAAGCAAAAGGCAAAGAGAAACGGAATTCGAGTGGCAGTCGGAGTGTCTACTGAATACTGTCAGTGAGCACAGGTAATGTAGCCTATGATTCACCGCTCATAACACAGCAACGGTAGAAACAGCTCTGTTTGTTGTCCAACTGCTACTACCACTGCCAGTGGCACTCACTACTGCCACTACTACGACGACGCCTGCGACTGCGACTGCGACGAAGTCGGCAGCAACTACAGAACAACTGCTTGGTTCCCGCAGCAAAGCATGTTCTCAGTGGCCATGCTTCTTGTCGTCTTTGTCGCTTAAGCTTTGTTTCGCAGACAAGCCGCCCGAGGGAAACCGCAGCTTGCAGCAGATGGCAGGCGGAAGTCCCGCCCGCGCGGCGGAAGTGTTGGAACCAAAGAAAGCCTGGACAACGATGCGTCTTCTGCATCCCGCGGTTGTTCCCATCAAGACATTAAGATTGTTGACCCCTCGTCGAGAAATGGGCATGCGGACTTGAGACATCTGCACATGTTCATGTAGATCTAAACCCTTATCTGCCCTCAGCGTTACTTGCAATGAGACCCCTAAAAGTCCAGGAAGTGGTGCTCTACTACTGGTAGCTACATGTCTTGGGCAGCCAAGCCACCACGGCCCTGACGCCACATCTGCGTGGCATACTCTCTGTCCTGCAATCGGAGCTTCTACAAACGCAACGTATCATAAGCTTGGACGCTTCTCTTTGCAGTATGCAAAAGATGCAATGGCTTTCTGTCTCCTCGGTGGGCAAGAATCAAGCTGGTGCTGATTGAAGGTCTTGCTCGAACTTTCTGTGAAAAACACACTTACACACCTGCTACTTGCTTCACAGGCTCCAGCTACCAGAGAAAGACAAGGGTACCCGATTCACATTCCATCCGAAAACGGGCCAAAGGAGGAAGGATACATGGCATCCAAGCCCCAACCGCTGCGGCCAGAGTACCATATCACATCCCAAATTTAAACCCACTCCCCGCAGCGCTGGAGCGGTCCAGCTTCAGCGCTTCGGAGACGTTTGCCATCGGAAGCGCTGCCGAGGAAAAGGCCGAGGCCAGCAAAGCCAGGAGGAATCGCACCATGGAGCAGAGGCAAGACTGTCAAGACTCAAGCTGCTGTCAGACTGGTCCGCATCTGCGCTAGTGATGGGATGCCGTCCTTTAACCTATATAAATCTAGGTGGGATGGCAGCTGCAAAGCCCAATGCATCCTCTTGCGAATAGACTATAGAGCATTTGGCAAGCCGCAGTGAGGGGTCGACTTGTAGCCCTGGCTGTAGTAAGGCAAAGCCTGCCCAGTCTCTAATGTCTCTGGTGGGCGGCGGTGCTCTGAAGCCTTCTGCTGCAAGTTCCGACGCGCGATCATATCCTAGTAGAAGCAATAGCAGTTCGCTCGGAAGGTTCGTGGATGGCATCCGTGGTTGTTGGAAGCATGGGCCTTGCACTTGGCTATGTGTGCAGGATGTAGTCATGACTGTGCTTTACCTGTCCTGTGCTACATGTACTTCATTCATACTTCGACATGAAAACGGCGTGCATGAACCATAGGCGGTCGGTTGAGAGATGGGATGGCGGGCAAACGCCGTATGTATGCATGCATGCATGCGCGAGCACACATATATATATATATATATGTATGTATATATATATATATTATGTATAACAAATAAGTATTTATGCACTGGAGAAGAAGACACGAAAGTCAGGGAAAAAGAAGGAAGCAGAGTCCATAGAGCTCGGGCGTTATTGTGTGCATCATCGGCAGCGTGGATGCAAGCACATATGTACTGCCATGAAGCTTCAACATACAAGATGATAGCGGTAGCGTTCTTCTGCCTTACACTGGCCCACATACGGATGACCTCATATAACTCGGTCATCTATGCGCAGCTTCGATCTGACCTGGTGGCAGCTTAGCTAGCTACTGATGCGGCAGACTTGACACCTGCGTAGATGCACTCGGTCGCATAGAAACAAAATGCAAGTTGCCATGTTGGGCACAAAGGTGGACCTTAAGGTGGGAGGAAGGGGGGTACCAAAGGAGGGGAGGGGGAGCCCCCCTCCCTGACCTTTGTGCAAAATTGCTGAGGATTGTCCCCTCCTTGTTGGCTCTGAATCAATCATTTGCATGATGGTGCGGATGGCTCCCTGTCACAAGAACATCTTTGACGCTCCGGGTTTCTGCGTTTTGCTGGCAGCTTCTGGGGATTGACATGGTTTGATGGCCTGCTTTAGTGGAGCGTGTGATTCCAGAGGATTGATCGGGGTGCACTCGAGGTTGTGAGAGCCAGGCTGAAGGCTCCCAGGATCCATTCTTAACCTGCCATCCCCTCGGCTCCGGCCGCAAGAAGTCTGAAGCCGGGCGCGTCACCGCAAGAGCCTCGAGCGGATGCGGGCGAGGAAGGGCAAGAAAAAGCTCCGCACCTACGGTTTGTGCTTCTTAACGCACGAGGGCATCGAAACAGTGCTTCGGGGATTCCGGGCTCCTTTTGGAAGATCATGCATTGGAGCCCGATGTGCGATTGAACTTGCCAGAAGTGGACTAGGGCCGCGAGTGGAGCAGGAACATCAACGGCACATCAATTTATGTGCCCAAACCTCCAACAACCTTCCGAACTCCATCTCGCAGTCAGAAGTGACACAGTAAACAGCAACGCGAGCACGTATCCTGAGACACTTCGGAATGCGAGTGTAGGATCCCAAATAGGCTTGACGCTGTAACGACGATGGCGGCGGTGATGCTTCGGATTCATGTAGGAAAGCAAGAGGCAAACAGCACAGGAACAAGTCAGGAATGGCACCAACGCAGTACCATGTGAAGGATCTGACAGTCCTCGAAATCGCTGGCGAGAACTCATGGTAACGAGAAAAATGGCGAAGCAATGGCACAAACCAACTTTGACTTTCAATATGTTACAGTGATTAACAGACTTTAAGAGCCTAGGCGCACGCCAGCGCGCTCCCGGTCGTGCAGGAGGCAGCACCTGAAGTCTCGATCCATGACACAGGCGATGTCTCATTAAGCCGGTCTTCCTACATGTCTCAATCTTGAGCAAAGAGCAGCAACAGTATGTTAACACCTGGTCTGCATTGTTTTCACAAGATGACGTGAAGCGGCCACACCGAGAGGTGTCGGACTCTCTGTGAATGCGCTTGCTGCGCTCTTTCCTGCACACGCCTACTACCACTTGTTTCCCCTTGTTACTCTGGTCATTCGTGGTGTTGTGATTGCAGCATGCAGATTCATGCCACTTCCAGGGCATGATTTTTTTTGTAGTATACTATAGTCTACGGTACACAGAAACAGTGTAGTATAGTATGCCCATGGGATAGTATAGTTTGCTATACGGTACTATGGTTTTAACGTCGGAGAGTATAGTATAGTAAAGCATAGCATCGGATCTTGGGAAAGAGTCAACCGGGATGCCAAAATGGTCAGCCGAGCAGCCGATGCCGACATCTCCAGTTTCCTTGACACCAGCTACTGTAGGCTTTTTTTTGCCTCCCACCTGGCTAGGACTGTAGGTAGTAGAAGTCGTCGTCGTAGTAGTAGTAGCAGCTACTCCACTCTCTTTCCTGGGGTACATGAGTCATGAGTGTGACAAGGACGGGCCCGCACGTCTCAAAGGGTTGCAGTGCCCAGCGTCACAAGGGACAAGCGGAAAGCGCTCACGACTTCGTCCAGCGGTTTGGCCATCAGCAGCTGTGGATCTTGCGGCAAATCCTTGCAGCGTCTGACGGCGCACCCCTTCATCCCTAAGCACTGCTAATGCACAAGCGCTACAAAGAAACATGCTCAAATCAGCTTTGTGTGCAGCGTGCGCGGACGTGCCGGACCCAGATACTTCTTGGGCAGAGAATGGTTACTAGGTTGCCTACACCGCAGAGGCTGATGACTGACGCTGTGACCGATAGCCTCATGTTTGCAAAACGAACCGCAGGGCAAAGGACTATGCTCACTTCCAGAGTGTCCCACAGCTACTTGCAGCTCATGTGGTGTCGCTGACCCTTCCAAGGAACCCTGAAAAAGGACCCTAAAATCATCTAAAATCCATAAAGGAGCTCACCAAGAAACCCAGACGACCCCGAGGCGAGGCTTCTTCACCATCCAGGGCGCGATGGCGAAGCGCTCGGCGACTTGACCATTTTCCAGCACGTCGATCCTTCTTGGATCTTCTTGGATTTAAGGCTTAAGGAAAGAGGGTTGTGTTTGCCTCCTTCCTATTGAACGAGTCGAAAGGGTTGTTGAAAGTTCGGTTTTTAGTTTACGGTTCGGGCTCAAGGTCTCGCACTCGGACTCTCCAGGCTGCGCATATGTCCATAGGTCTGTGCTTGAGGCTTGGGGTTCAGATGCGTTTTAGGGTGTGTTGATCATGAAACAAACACCAGCAGAACAGCGACAAGCAATCGCGAAATCACATGATCACAGGCCCTGTCCCGGCAGCAATCATGAAGTCATGCTCATGCGCATGCTCAGTTAGTATATACAACAAAGTATGACAACAACAGCAAGAACAACAAGTGAGTAACTAGTAGTTAACTAGTGTAAAAGTAGTGGCAGTACCTCATGCTTCGTGGCAGTCACTGTGGCAGGCAGCAGTTCGACTAGTAATGATACCTACACGAATCAGCATTGCCATCACCAACCAACCAACGATCGAACCAACCAACCAACCAAGCAACCCGCTAGCAAACCAGCCAGCCAGCCAGCTAGCAAACCAGCCAGCCAGCCAGCCAACCAACCGACCAACCAACCAACCAACTGACCAACCAACCAAGGAACCAACGAATCAATCCACCGACCTACCAACCGACCAACCAACCAACCGACCGACCAGTGAAGCAATCCAACCAACGAGCAACGAACCTGCAACATCAAAGGATTCAGTAAGCTTCTGGACCCGCAAGTCGAATGTCTTGAGAACCATCTTCTGGAACTTGCTGACACTCCTCAGCACCAAGGTGCAGGAGGCGGCTAAGCCGGTCGCGGTTGATCGCCGAGCGCAGGGACGTGGCGAGTTTGACCTCGGGTATAAACGCAAGCAAGAATAAACTTTACCTGCCAGCTGGCGCTGCTAAGGTGACTTGCAAGAAATTTTAAGCATGACCCACCAGGTCCGGTTGGAGCCCGGCGGACACCTCCCCTCGCCACTTTTGAAGTGCTGACATGCCTGTTTCTCAGCTTCTCCTCCAGACTCCGCCACGGTTGCAAGTCAAGACACCACGTAATCTTCGACGTCCACACAGGTGTTCCACCTTCATCATGCTTCTGGAAGTACGTCGATGCCGATGTGTACAGCTACATGTCCAACCTGTGGGAACGACATGCGCGCGAAGTTCAGGGTGTCATTCTGAAAAGATCTGACAAGCCTGCCAACATCAAGCACCTCTGGAACACTCCTGTTCTCATCCTTCGAATCAATCGGGGCCCATCTCCGAAAAATCTAACGGTATTCAAAGCGGCCATACATCGTGTTCCAACAGGCGCTGCCGCTCAAAGCTGGCAGGGGCATAGAGCTCTCGTACCTGCAGATAGGATACATTTCATAAGAGTGTGATATGTGCTTGTATGTTGTATGTCGATACACCGTGTTACATGCCATATGTTATGTTAGTGTATTTTAGTGTGTATGTTGTCTATTCCTTTCTCTAACATCTCATATATACTCTCTCACTCTCTCTCTCTCTCTCTCTCTCTGTGTCCCTCAACCGTGCCATACTCAGGTGTCTTGCTGAGCACAGGCACGTAGGGTTCTATAGTAAGGTGCCTCAGTTTTAGGAAACCCCATATGTGCGGCGACGACGAGGGAAACTCCCTAGATTTCCGCATCCTGCTGAGTAAGCATGGGCTGGGGCACCTTCAGGACAGTGAAGATTGCGCACTGGAGGAAGAGGATGAGCCTCGTCCCGAGGTGCGCATGCCGGTAATGATTCAAGCAGCAATGCACCAGGTTTGCACTGGTTCTCTGCTTTTAAAGGAGAGACGACCATCCACCACATGAGAACTGAGGAGTCAGTTTAGACAGGGCATCCTGCCGGCAAGCGCATGGTGAAGATTGCTTGCCAAAAGCACCATGCGTCAACTACAACCACACGTCTGCATGCAACCATGTTTGCCTTCTCTTGTCTTGACCTTGTAGTGGTATACAAACAAGACACAATAAGACACACAAGCATGATACAGCAGGGCCGGTTAGACCAAAGCTTATTTCGGTCGGTTTCTTTCGGGGACGGATTCGGCAGCTTGAAGCAAGAGGCGTGTCTCCGATGGTCCCCTCTTGTAGCATCCGTGGCTCCTGCTCGACTACCAGTGTCAGTCATACTAAGTTCATGTCCTCATGCATGCAGGCTCGGTACGCTGCGCACGACGTGGAAAAATGCATGACCGCAGTGACGTAACTGTTTACTGAAAGTTTACTGAGGAAGTAAACGATTGATACCCCAGGTCACCAGGACCAAACATGCATACAGACATCATTAAACTCACATGCATGCAACCATCCACACAAGCTTCCGTCAACCGTAAGCACGTCAGGCCAGCTTGCGCAGAGCAGCTACTGTCCCTCTGACAAGCACAAGAAGCTGGAGCCTCTCGCGTCAGCCGCAAAGTATGATGGTCGAGTTGCAGCATGCTGCGTAAAGTGTACCGAGCCTCTATATCAAGTGAGGTCGCATGCATGCACGTTGAGCAAGCCGACGACTCGCTCCTAATCCAAGAGTAGCATGGCCGCTGCCCATCTCAGCAGAAGCGCTCGTGTGACGGGGCCGCACATGCAGGTGTCGGTTATGCATGAACTGAGGTTTTACATACTGCTCCTAGGTTTGCAGCAGCAGACTTGTGAGATGCCGGCGCACATACCTTGTGCCCTTCTTTCTAGGGTGAAGTCGCAGGTTGTCGGTACTTGTGAATGCACCCCTGCGTGTGGCAGATGCCCGTCTATGAGACAACAAAATCGGTTGCCGTGTGATGCCATGTTAGGACGGCATCCGTGTTACAAGCCTCTGCTTGTGAGTGTGGCTGTGTGTGAGCTTGGCCCCAGGGCCTCTTTGATGTTTCATGGCTGCGGTCGGAGGGCGGGCATCATACCGAAAAGATGTAAGCTGCAACAGTGCATTCCATTGCCTTGCTGTTCCTGCTGGGTTTGCATCCACTACGAGTATGTGCCTTGATACCCAACATGTCGACTCTACGCTATGCCATTATGCCAAGTGCCACATCCCCCGCCCCGGAACCTTTCTCGAATCCCGCAGAGTCCTGGCCTTCCACTGGCCACACCTCGGCAACCTGGAGCGACCGCCTGTCAGTCTGCTCTCAGCTGACCTTTGTCCTACTGCCCGTGTGCTTGCTTCTCCAGTGGTCAGTACTTGCCCAGTCAGCTCTTACGAGACATGAACTGAAGTAGCTGCAAAATGGAGCAGCTAAGCCTGCACACTTGCATGGTGTCGGTAACTAAATCAATGGCCAGCACAAAACCGAGCATGTTGCAGCTGCAAAGTCGCACAGAAATCATTGGCCTGTTGGCTGTGCCACCACAGAAGAGAGTTATGGCATCGCTGAGGTCTGTGTTGAATTCGTCGTCCATGTAACCTCGGCAGCGGCCGAGGAATGCAAGTGTACCGGTACTTCGCATCTGTGCTCTACTGCTTCTACTTCTGCTGCTGCTGCTGCTGCTGCTGCTCCCTACTGCTGCTGCCAGCACCACCACGAGGGTTGCTACTACAACATATTCCAACTCCTGCTGCATACGCGGGTCTGAATGATTAGAGCAGGGTCTTGGGGTTTTATACCTACTATAAACAAGATTTTATACAGGAACCTTCCATATTCTGCTCCTTTCGGAACGGCCTAGGGCCCTGGCCAAGCCGCCTCAGCACCTCACGCTGCTACGGCCATGAACAATCTCATGACAAGAACAAGTGGCAAAGATCGGCATCGCTCTCAAAATTCACGACCATCACCGACATGATCCAAGGACGCTGATATCACGATGGGCTCGTCTTAGCTCGTCTGAAAAAGGGACACTGACAATCATGCTGAAAGGCAGGGCTTTCACAAACACAACCGTGACAGCAGCAGTAGCTGCAAATGCTAACACGAAGCACGAGAACAGAACAGGCCCTATCAGGTTCGAGCACCGCATGGGGTTGTGGCCGGGGGCCATGACGGAAGATTTACACCGAGCAGTTCGGAGCCCGTCGAGTGCCAGAGATGGAGAGGTTGGAAACTTTACGGCAACAGGCAGTTGAGACCCACTTGGTGCAGGTGTTGCTTGCCTGGCGCTTCCAACATGTCTCTAGAGGGCGGGAAAGGTCAGGCTTATATCACAGTTAGACTTGCTGCCAGGCTGGCAGGAAAGTTCGAAGCTCATTGCTCGCTAGAGACCAGTGGACAGCCGAACGAAAGGACAGGCACCGGTTGCTGAAGGATGTCTTGTTTGCAACATTAAGACAATGTGAAAACATGCATACATAATTACACACGTGTATCGGATATGTGTACGAACACAACATGTGCATGTCATTGACAGTCAGAATACTTCGGGAACCATGATACCAACATAAATCAATCATCAGGCATATTGCAGGTACAACATGGGTGTTGTCGCCCCTCGGCGGCTCAACACGGTGAGCACAAATGGACCCCAGCGAACTCTGCAAGCCCCTGTAGCCTTGGAACACAGCTCCTCAGAGTCTTCGAGAAGGAAAGGCCCGCCTCAACACATTCTGAGCTTAGGGACATTTGAGGATTTTGCTTGGCCTAGGATATACGTGCGTTTCGGCGGTGATGACAGCATAGAGAACTACTGTCGGTTATTTTCTCGGCATTCGGTGGCCTCCGAGGAAAATCGAGCGGCAGTCTGCTGTCCCGTACTTGGCGATAGTTTCCTGGCCAGCCGAATGCTCTCATGTACCGGAACATACTACCACCATAATGTAAATAACGTACAAAAATGGAAGCCTAGTTCTTTTTGTGCCACCCGCCAGAACTATATATCCCCCAAAGACCCTACATCCTAGGGCTTTTTCTCCAAACCTGGCCGACCCAGACAGAGCAATGAAACGAAGCCATGTTGTTGTCCCGAGGCCTGGCGTGCACCAAGCTACTCTAAAGTCCAAGGCTATTCGCAGCCCACCCCCGAACATTCCCAAACCAGATGTCAATCGATTGGGCATCTGCGGCCCGGTCATGTTGAAACGATCTCTGTTTTTGCTGCTGAGCGATGCAACTGTACACTGCATCTTGGCGCATTGGGGCGACAGCTTCCCAGAATCTTGCTGGCAAAGACACGTGCAACATTTCACTCAAGAAGGGGGCATTGTGGGGCACCATGAGAACTGAAAGAGAAGCGGCGCCCCGAATAATGACCTCGCTTCGGGTTTCCTCTGCACAAGCCGGGGTTGCAGGCTGTTTTTCAGCTGCATGGCAGGACTTTGCTGCCGCATCCTCTGGGAAGTGGCGCATTGAAGTGGCTCTACTGAGCTGAAAGCTATAGTTCCTGACGTACAAGCCCGAACTAAACTACTGAAACAACCTATCCGCACACTGACCATGTGCTCTCCTATGTTGGCAGAACAAATGATCTTCATACACATGCAAGTGACTTCAAGCTAAATGGAACAGTAAGCGTGGCCCCATTACTTCCACTCCACTCTTTGCTTTTACTAAGATATCTCTCATACCAATAAATACTGTAATTTCCATAATTATCTTCCTATCTCGAGTCGTTCTATTAGGACTAGAACTATTATTACCATCATCTCTAGACTTCAAGCATTATAGATTTGGATATTACCATAATTCTACTCTTACTCTTTTCAAGCATTAGATATTACTATAGTAATACTACTCTTACTCTTTTCAGGCGGACTGCTTTCGGCCCAAGGTCTCGGCCGACGGCGCTGGCGCCTCGATCTCCAAGGGCGGCCGTGCAGTGCGAGAGGGCTCCTGAGACAGCTGACACCTACAGATTCATATGTACGTGTGTGTGTGTGTGTGCGTGGGTGTGTGTGTGCGTGCGCGGGTGGGTTTGTCATATTTGTATAACTTGTGCATAATATTCGATTTATATACCTATATATATATGTATATATATGTATGCATGTATGTACGAATTCATAGATACACAGTTTTTTTCAGGAGTTGGGATAGGATCTGGCCCGCTATTGTTTGGCTCACTTTGGATCTGGACTTTCATCAGAATGACTTTACCGGAACTGACATGACACCAGTTCCGACTCGCAACTTCTTTCGGGGTTTGCTTCAGACAAGGACTATAACGGCATGTCATTCCTATCATTCCTAGCTATTCGGACCCCTATACAAGATCACCGAGGAGCATCATCCTGAAGTTCGTCCACGAAGTCCACTTTCTCCTTCCAGCATTCTCTGAGACTCTCTCTTTGGTATTCTTTGGTCTTCCGTAGGAATTCTTCCGTCGTGGCGAAGACTTCATCTGAACGCAAGATCAAAGGCTACAAGAAGAATTGAACACAAATGTGGGCTCAAGCTCAGACTCTCGCTGACCTACGAGTACGTCCAAAACACTGCGCTCTCTCCCGCGCGGGTCGCGGATGCTTCACGGGATAGGCCCAGAGATTCAGCAGGGCCTGCAGCGAGGCAACAAGTCTGGACTCTCCAGGTTCACGCACATGGACCTGCACATATCTTCTATATACAGCATGTATATACATATGTTTATGTATATGTGTATGCATATATATATATAGATGTTGTACGGCTCTGATCCCTCTGGTCAACAGTTTCGACCGGCCCCAAAAATCCGAAAACCCCACATCAAAGTGAAAAGCTGGCCTCGACAAGCAGCAGAAAAACGTTGCTGTTGCAAATTGTTTTGGCCAAGTGCAGCAAGGCAGCCAGCGCCAAAGACTCCGCGGAGAGAAGGTAATAGTTCCTGTATGCCGCAGACCGCCAAGTTGCTTTTGCTTGAGAGTCTGCGTCAAGGCAGAATGCGACAGGAGGCTTCAGGCTTGCTGTTGCCATCCCCACAGCTCCTTGCGGAAACGGAACCGGTAAACCATAACGGCATCACATGCAATATGACATGACAACCGCTATTCACATGCACTTTTGAATATTCTTATAGAAGTCGAACACGATTTTCTCCCCATGAAGGTGGATTCAAGACTTGTGCTGACTGAAATCCCCGTGCCTATTGCCCTAAAACCAAAGCGGTCGGCCAAGGCTCAGGAACGTCCGTACATAGGAGGGTGTCTCGCTGGCCAAGAGAAAGCCTAAAGCCTCGAAGGCGCCAAATCTGGGAGATCTCCAACAGTTGATGTTGAGTGTGATGTTTTCACAAGCTCACCATAGCTTCTGTCATCCAGGTTGAGAGGCAAGATGTGTGAGACAACTCATAAAATCCACATGGGGTTCGACATACTACATACCGACGTGAGGAAGCAAATTCAAGAGTTCGGTAGCTCAGGAGATGCCCTACAGCCTCCTCAGCATGACTTTGCTACCGCATCACGAGAAAGCCTGTCGAACCAGACACCGAGCTCAAACCTTGGAGTTAGAATGGGCTGTCCAACGCGGTGCTTGAACTGAGCTGACAAGAAGCTGTCAGCACACTCGTCTGCATGAAGTTCACCGACAGCAGCCTGCAAGAAGGCAATGGCGTGCCATGACTCTTTCAGCCACTTTCTTTCCTTTCTTCGGGGGAGTGTAAGACCATCCTGCCCCGCGCGCCGCGCCAGTCCACTGGTTTTTGCGGCCTACTCTACCCCTCTCAGACTCGGGCTCGCCAGCTCCAGTCGAAAACGCCCCCCTCTGCAGTTGAACAACATACTTGGACCATGAGTGCATGCATACATGCATGAATGCATGCATACATGCATGAATGCATGCATCCATCCCCCCATCCCACCGTCCGTCCGTCTGTGCATACATGCAGGCATCAATAATTGCATACATACATAGTTCATACATGTATAATGCTATGCATACATACATAAGCATGCACGTATGTACATGCATAAGTGTGTATGTGTTCATGGACATGTCTGTATGAATGTCTATATTAATTACAAAGTTATTTATTTATTTGTTTGTCTCTTTTCAGCTGTGTTACATTACATTACTTCTCATTCTATCATCTTCTGGTACATTCTCAGGTTTGTGTAGAGACACGCGCGCGCGCGCGTACGCCCACACACGCACACAACCACACATCTTGTATGCATCTCTGTCTGGTGCCCGTGTCCCCCCAACAGTCACAGCACCAAAAGTAGCATGCCGAACTGAAAACGCTGCCCACACACAGATGTGTGTTGAGATATCTGTATGTGTGTAGGTGTGGTTGCGGAATGCAAAGTATACATGTACTCGTTCTTATGTAACTGATGCATCCGAGAGGCCCTTTCACGCCCCAGAACTTCCAGAACGGCCGAACCGGTCGCAGCGCATCATTGAAGGCATGCTCGTACTGCAGGACCGCGAAAAGCGCGATGCCTCATAGGCTTTGGCTCTACTGACAGTCCTGTTAACCCCCAACAAAGAGGCCGGAATCCTGCTGGATCAAGCCGAAACGAAGAACGATTGGACCAGTCGTAACATGAATATGCTCAATCGGAGCGCTGCAGGTGAAGAAGTCCGCCACAACCATAAGCAAGGAGGTAGCATTCCAGACATCCTGTCAGATGCGGTGCTAGTCACAGCTGCAGAAAAAAAACTGTCACCACAATGAGAATACTACTAGCGAACGGTCGTACACTGACGATTCCACTCACTGAAGCTGACTGACCACAGCAACCGTTTTGAATGGACATTCGCCCTGAGCAATGTAACATGCATACGGCATGTATATGTGCATGTTAATCTATTCGTCCCCGACCCTGACCTATCCAAAAGATGTATATACGTCCACTACATAGTTAGCCGTTCGTCTGTATATCTGATGAAGTTGTTACTTCAACCCAACACGTCGAAACGCGAAGGTCGACTGTCCCCGAGGCCTCGCATGCCAAGGAGCTTGTCCTTGTGTGGACACGAGGGTTCCAAAGCGCTTTGGCAGATGGGGTGGACATTGGGCATGGATGGGTCTGTTAGCAAATAACAACACGAAGATTCACGAAGAATAAAGGGGTTTCGGTTGGTTCTCAGCGCTCGGTCTTGCGCTACTACTGCGATGCAGGCTTGAAGTCCTCGTGTGGATGGTGTCTCGCAGCTTTGCCTCGTTTATCGCCAGGCTGATGTTGTGCCGTGGAAAGACGTACTGCATCATGCCTGTGAAGGAAAAAGGTGTGGCTGCGGAGGTTCGGGAATGGTTACACGATGCTGCAAATCAATGCGCGTGAGCAGACACCGCCAGGTCAAAGCAATGTTGTACACGTGTGATGGCGGGTGGGGGGCGCGTGGGTGCAAGACAAAATGATAGGAAAGGCGTACTTCAACTCACGCACTGCCAATGGGTTCAAAGGGCGGAACGGCTCAAGTGTGCAGTATAACAGGCGTGAGGACGCCCGGATTGCGCCTGCACGGCACGGATATGTCGATGTGCTGTCAAACCCCTGGCCCTGAGGAAGCTCAAAAAGTGTCCGAGCATTTGATCGAAGCCTCGGTTCCTTTGCTCTTCGGGCCCTTCGGGCCTTGGAGGGCATCCTCGCAGGAGCTTGGGTGCAGCCAATCCCAAGCCTTGACAGCCACCAGGATCGAGTTGCAACCGAACTGCCTTGGATCCAGGTTTCTTCTTAGCTGCATCGACTGAAGAACAGCAAGGCACACTAGTCAGCAGCATCCGATATCATCCGCATAACCAATCATAGCTGCTCAAGGTGACGTTGTTGTCCTTTCGTTGGCTTGACCCAAGAGCCCAGGTTCGTTCTACATCGATTTTACTCCGGTGGTTGGATTCTCACGGCTTCCTCAGCATTTCGGGCAGCTGAAGCCATGTGAAGACGAGTAGGAATGGCGAGAAAGGTCGCTTCAGCAAAAGGCACAACACAACGTACTGCTGGATGCCCACGGACATGACTTTCCTCGGGGCAGGCTCCCGTCTCCCATATCCGAAAACTCCTCCCGAGCAAAGACACCACCCCTAAAGGGTGCCACAAGAGCTGCGTTCAGGCGAATGTCGGGGCAGAAAATCATATAAGGGTCGGTTACTGCAAAGGTGCTGAGATCAGGGCTGACAAGTCATCAGGGCTTACGGTTCTTGATGTCAAGAGCTTTCCGGTCGTGTATCTGGAAGCTGTGGCGAATCTGGTCGGGCTCCACCTTGACATCCGCCTGGCGACAGGGCCGATTCCATGGCGATGGAAGCCGGCCATGCGGGCGAAATCTCTCTTTGAACACTTTTGCAGAGGGTCAATTAGGAACCAGAGGTCCAGCTGACGGTCATGTGCAGATGCGTGCGCTCGCTGCCTTCGGTGAGTCTGCATGAAGAACGTCCACGTACACAATGAGGAGCCGCTGGAAAGAGTACCTCGATTGGTGCGATCGATGCCCTGCAACCCTTAAACTGCTGAGCCCTGAAGCCGCGAAAGCTAAACACCTTCCACACTATTCCACACTGCAATCATCTAACCCGGAGAGGGGGAGCATCTGAAAGAAGTGTAAAAACAACACTCGATCGGTTTCACTCAAAAAATGTGGTCAGCCGGGCTTTGGGACAAACAGCCGCCAGGCAGGAGATGCAGGAAGCTGCAGCTTTCATATCTACTCCGGCCTTGCTCTATGGCTCCGGATAGCAAGTACGGGTTTGGGGCTTAGGGGTTTTTCCCTCCCGTTTAGGGGCTTAGGGTTTGGGGTTTAGGTTTTTTGTGCATCGATGCTTGGGTACCTGGGCTTTGGATTCAAGCGGCAATGCGATTGCAGAGAAGAGTTCTGCAACGTCCAGCAGCGCTTCAGCTGTCCAGGTGTCCTCACCGGCGTCAGTCAGCAGCTCTACTTCCAGAACAGATCGTACCAAAACAGACTACCGTACTACATTGTAGTATACTATGATGGTCTAGTACATGTGTATATGTATATATATATATACATACACACACACATATACATA